TTCAAAAATTCCAAAACTGAAATGAAGAAACAGGAAATCGAAAAAATAAAAAAATTGAGAGACCGAAAATTCTGAAAGTCAAAAAAATCGAAAAATTGAAGAATCCACAATTTGAAAAATCATAAAGCTAAAATACCGAAAAATTGAAAAACGGAAGAAAAATTAAAACATCAAAAAAATTGAAAAGTCGAGAAATCGAATATCCGAAAAATCGAAAATTTAAGAAAATTGAAAAGTCGGGAAATCGGGAAATCAAAGCGATTATTCGGGAAACTGAGGAAAAGATGGAAACATTGAGAAATTGAAAAATTGAAAATTCGAGTAGAAAAATCTAAAACTGAGAAGTCGAAAAGTTGAAAGATCGTTGAATTAATGGTCAACATACTGAAAAATCTAAAATTTAGAAAATGTGAAAAATTGAAACATTGAAACATCAATAAATCTTGAAAAAGTAAAAAAACCAAAAGATCGACTAATCGAAGTATCAAAAAATTCAGAAATTAAAAAATTTTCCAAATCGAAAAGTTGAAAAATTGAGATATCCAAATCTTGAAAATTGGAGAAGAAATTTGAAAATCGAAAACCGAGATGTCCAGAAATCGAAACATCAAAAAATCCTAAAATTGTAACATTAAAATATCGAAAATGAAAAATCGGAAGGGTCAAATCCAAAATTTAAAATGCCGAAAATCGAAAAACTGAAAAATCAAGAAATTCCGAAACTGAAATGACGAAACAACAGAAAATCGAAAAATTGAAGAATCCGCAATTTGAAAAAATCTAAAGCTGAAATACCGAAAAATTGAAAAATGGAAGAACAATCGAAAAAATCGAGAAATCGAAAAGTCGAAAAATCGAAAATTTAAAAGTCGAGAAATCGGGAAACGAAACCGATAAGTCGAGAACCTGAGAACAAAATGGAAAAATTGAAGAATCAAGAAATGAGAAATCGTAAAATTGAAACATCGAAAAATCGAAACATGGAAAAACGAATAAAATTGAGAAATCGAAAAATTGAAAAATTCTAAAATTATAAAATCGAAAAATGTAATATTTTAAACGTGTTCTAAGTTTCTAAAAATAAAAAGTCATCATAATTGAGATGGGGTGGGTGGGTGGGGTTTATATTTTGCCTTTTTTCTTAATGTACCTAGTATTCTTTAAACAGCACGATACTCAAAAACATGTTTTTAATTTCTTGTAAAGATATAAATCTTCTGCAGTTAAGCTTGGTTCACGACGAATAAAAAAAATTGAAAAATTAAAATATCGAAAAATTGAAGAAAATTGAAGAAATTCGAAACATGAAAAAATCCATAAATTGAAAAACTGAAAAATCTAAAATTTTAAAATCGAATAAGTAAAATATCGAGAAATCCAAAAACTGAAATATTGAAAAATCCCAAAACTGAAAAATTAAAAAATTGAAGAATGGTAAAATTTAAAAAAGCCAAAATTAAAACATGGAAAAATTGAGAAAATCGAAAATTTAAGACAATTGAAAAGTCTAGAAATCGGGTAAACTGAGGAAAAATGGAAAAAATGAAGAATCAAAAATTGAGAAATCGAAAAATTGGAAAATATCGTAAAATTATAAAATCGAAAAATGTAATATTTTAAACGTGTTTTAAGTTTCTAAAAACAAAAAATCATCACAATTGAGATGGGGAGGTTGGGCTGGGTTTATATTTTGCCTTTTTTCTTAATGTACCTAGTATTCTTTGGAGAACACGATACTCAAAAGCATGTTTTTAATTTCTGGTAAAGAAATAAATCTTTTGCAGTTAAGCTTGGTTCACGGTCAATAAAAAATTGAAAAATTTAAATATCAAAAAAATGAAAAACCAAAAGAATAAGTAAAATATCGAGAAATCCAAAAACTGAAATATTAAAAAATTGAAGAATGGAAAAATTTTAAAAAGCCAAAATTGAAACATGGAAAAATTGAGAAATTGAAAACTTGAAAATTCGGGAAATTAAGTTGAAAAATCTAAAGGTGAGAAGTCGAAAAGTTGAAAGATCGTTGAATTGAAACATCAACATACTGAAAAATTTAAAATTTAAAAAATGCGAAAAATTGAGACGTAGAAACATCAATAAATCTTGAAAAAGCCAAAAATCGAGAGATCGAAAAATGGAAACGTCAAAAAAAATCGAAAGATCGAGTAATCGAAATATCAAAAAATTCAGAAATTAAAAAACTTTCAAAATTGAAAAGCTGGAAAATTGAGATATCCAAACCTTAAAAATTTGAGAAATTTAAAAATCGAAAAACCGAGATGTCCAGAAATCGAAACATCAAAAAATATCGAAAAATGAAAATCGGATGCGTCAAATCCAATATTTAAAAAATTGAAAATCGATAAACTGAAAAATCAAGAAATTCAAAAATTCCAAAACTGAAATGACGAAACAACAGGAAATCGAAAAAGTAAAAAATCGGGAGATCGAAAATTCGAAACGTCAAAAAAATCCAAAAATTGAAGAATCCACAATTTGAAAAATCCTAAAGCTGAATTACCGAAAAATTGAAAAACGGAAGAAAAATTGAAACATCGAAAAAATTGAAAAATCGAGAAATCGAATAGCCGAAAAATCGAAAATTTATAAAATTGATAATTCGAGAAATCGGGAAATGAAACCGATTATTCGGGAAACTGAGAAAAAATGGAAAAATTGAAGAATCAAAAATTGAGAAATCGTAAAATTGAATAATCGAAAAATTGAAAAATGGAAAAACAAAAAAAATTGAGAAATCGAAAAATTGAAGAATCCTAAAATTATAAAATCGATAAATTACCATTTTAAACGTGTTTTAAGTTTCTAAAAATAAAAAAATCATCACAATTAGAATGGGCTGGGTGGGCGGGGTTTATATTTTGCCTTTTTTCTTAACGTATCTAGTTTTCTTTGAATAGCACGATACTCAAAAACATATTTTTAATTTCCCGTAAAGAAATAAATCTTTTGCAGTTAAGCTTGATTCTCGGCGAATAAAAAAAATTGAAAAATTGAAAAACCAAGGATTCGAAGCATGGAAAAATCCATAAACTAAAAAACTGAAAAATCTAAAATTTTAAAATCGAATAAGTTAGATATCGAAAAATCCAAAAATCGAAATATTGAAAAATCCCAAAATGAAATATTAAAAAGTTGAAGAATGGAAAAAAGCCGAAATTAAAGCATGGAAAAATTGAGAAAATGAAAAATTGAAAATTTGAGAAATCTAAGGTGACATTGATATGATAAAATGAAGGTGACTGCATATCCGATACATAATTCTACATATTTAATTATTTATCTTATTACATTAAAAACAAAAACAACTTTTTATTTACTCCTAATAAATATGGTATACAGAATTGAAAAATGTAGAATTTAAAAATCGAAAAATAAAAAAATCGGGAAATCCACGAATCGAAAAAGTGAAGAATCTAAATAATCAAAAATTCCAAAACTGGTACATCAAAAAATTGAAAAATGGGAAAAAATTGAAGAATGGAAATATTAAAAAAAGCCAAAACTGAAGCATGGAAAAATTGAGAAATCGAAGAATTGAAAGATTGCTGAATTGAAAAAACAATCTGAAAAATCTAAAATTAAAAATTTTGAAAAATTGAGAAATAGAAACATCAATAAATCGAAAATTGAAAATCGAAAAAAATTCAGAAAAATTTTCAAAATTGAAATTTGAAAAATTGAAAAATCTCAAACTTGAAAATTTGAGAAATGTAAAAGTCGAAAAATTTTGAAAATCGAAAAACCGAGATGTCGAGAAGTGAAAAAGTGAAAAATTCATAAATCGAAACTCCTAAATTTAAAAAGTCGGAAAATTGAAGAATCGAGAAACTGAAAAATCAAAATATATATTGAGAAATCGAACAACTGGAAAATTGGAATATCGAGAAACTGAGAAATCAAGAAATTTTAAAAATTAAAAAACTCGAAAAATCAAAAATTTTAAAAATCGGAAAATGGAAATCTGGAAAGTCGAAAATTGAAAGATCGAGCAGTTGAAACAGTAAAAATCGAAAAATTAAAATGCTGAAAAATTGAAAAATCAAGAATTTGAAAAATTCTCAAAATCAAATGTCGAACAATTGAGAAGTCGAAGAATATTAAAAATTGAAAGACCGAGATGTCAAGAAATCGAAACAACAAAAAATCCAAAAACTGAAAAATGAAAAATCGGAAGGGTCAAATCTAAAATTTATTAAAATCGGAAAACCGAGAAATCGAAAACCCAAAATTCAAAAATGAAAAATCGAAAAACTGAAAAATCAACTAGATAATTGAAAAAAGTCGAGAAATCGTGAAATGAAATCGATTATTCGTGAAACTGAGAAATCGAAAATTTGAAGAGTCGAAAAATTAAAAAATTCTAAAATTGTATTATCCAAAAATTGAAAATCGTTGGCAGACCTAGGGGAGGATCAAAATACAAAAATTCACCATTTTAAACGTGTTTTAAGTTTCTAAAAATAAAAAAGTCATCACAATTGAGACGAAATGGGTGGGCGTGGTTTATATTTTGTCTTTTGTCTTTGTACTTTGCGTTCACGCAATCGCGTGTCTTAATAAATACACTAGGTGCTATAATAATTGCACTAAACGTAGTGAAATTTATTTTCTTACTGTTGTCATAACTGCCTATCATCTTTTTGCTTACAATCTGCAAATCTTGTCAACTCTCGTAAAATTCCCTAGATTTCGAAATCGAAATTTCATAGTTTTCGCTGCACCCAAAATTGTGCGTACGACAAAGTGCTTCTTATTATAAAACTCGTATCATAATATACTATTATGAGCTTGTTTTTTATGCAGCTATGATATTAGTCTTGACGCAATCTGGTATATGTCTAGTAACAATGAAGAAACGACTAGTTTTCACATTTTTATTGCAAAATTTTAAATTTAACACTACTTTAAAACTATCACGAAGAGATTCAGACTTCTCTCCTACGATCCTAAGCAGTACTTATAACCTTAAAAATCCCCATTACATATACAGTGCCAGTAATGGAAACTGCATCAAGTACTACAGTTCCGTCGACTACCAAAAAGTATCTAGATTTTTAATACACAGTCACACGTTAAAAACCTAGGAACAACAAAATCCCAAAACGTTGGATTTGTTACGGGACTTTGTGATCGGGCGTACCACTCCAGGCTAAAAACTGTAAACGCGCTAAAGAAAGCCAGAATAAATGAACACCAGAAAATAACAACAGTAAACATGTTTTTAGGAATTTCAAAGAATGTCAAAGGAAGTCCTACAACCACAAACACAAAAAATGTTACAGGAACAAGTCCACCAGTGCAACAAAATACAACCCATTCGTGCACAACAAAAGACAACAAGAACACCGTCAATTTTGCTAGTAAAACATTGTCACAAATATGTTTCCTGAACTCAAGGTAAACGTAATAATACAACCAATCCTGCACGACCTTGTTCCATTTCACCAACCAACCGTTATAAGTGTGTTCGTTCCACCAATCTGAATAGAACAAACGGTCCCCGAATTGTAAAATTTCGGCCCAGAAATTATGAAATGAATGCCACAACGTGACGAATATACCCGTAAGTATTATCAGTGCATATCCCGTTTTCTCTAGAATCAAGAGTAACACCTCGTTTACGGTAAATTTTTGTGCCCATCTTTCCGAAGTTGGGAAACAGTTCATGGCACAGAAAACAAATGCGAAAAAACCAGCAACCCATTCGAGGAAAGACTGAGTGACAAAGTTCCAGTTGATGGTCTTGGTTCGAGGGTAGGCGTCTCTGTAGATGAGAGTAGGAGCAAAAAGAAAGTATAGATAGTTAGAGAAAGAGAGACGAGGAAGTTCTTCGGAAGCTTTGCTTCGCACGAACGCATGGACTTTCATTAAAAACCGGGTCTAAAAATTGATTTATTTTAAAGCGATTTTTTAAATGATTAACTTACCTGTTCGAGGGTGACGATAAGTATGCAAGAGAAATTGAAGCTGAAATAGCGGACTGCGTCAGTGGCTAACTTGAAGCTGTAAAAATAGTACAAAACTAAACATGCCAATCCTAACCGATCGTAAACTATGGCCATCCCTGAAAATCGGTTATTAGTTTTGAAATATCGTTGATGTTGTTGTGGTTTCGAAGAAACGTTGTGTTGATCGCTTTTTGGTATATATAAATAAATAAATAAATCAATAAATAAATAATAATAATGGTAGAAAACGCAAGACTTGTTGCATTATGAACAAGTGAATTTGTTTTGAGCTGAGAGTTCTTGCCTTTTTGGTTTGCAACCTTCACCTTTGCGTTTGAAGTGCCTTGATTCTCGTAATGTTGGTTGCCTATCTATTACTGTTGAATATTTGAATCTGGACCCTCTTCAGACGATTATTCCAGGTCTAACTAAAACTCTATGAAGATTGTTTTCTTTCAGTAACTTCTACATATTCAAAAAATTTGAGATCGGCTCTCCTACGGGAATCCACCTCCAGATCGTCCTCAGAAGTGTTAGAATCGTCGATAAAACCGTGTATTCATTCGAATGATTTACATTACATATTTTCCAGGAAACATCAAACTCGTGGTTTAAATTCAAAATTTGAAAGTTAATTCTGGAAAAAGATATCGATGACGAAACATTTAAAATTCACTCGACGTAACTATGTACTAGAAAACATAACGTAAACGCAACATGACACGGATAATAAAACACAGTTATTTCCCGTCGTACCGAAAATCAAAACGAACTCTAATAAAGCAAAAATTCGTCGAAAACGGCATTACTTAGTCTGTTTTTGGACTATGACCAGAAAATATCAAATCTTCCAGGGACGTTCGCTTTCGAAACCACAGCATAACTTACCTCTTGCATACGTCCTAAGACTCAACCACACTTTAAAAACGAAGAACAGTGCACAGACTGACGCAAAGCAACACGACCAAATGAAGATGGCTTTATCCAAGTGGACGAAACATGTTTTTATTACTTCAAAGCCAAAAGTTACTCTAAAAGCAGTTGTTGTTTCACCGTTGCTTTTGTTTAAATATTTACCTTCCGGTTGTCAAGTATTCGTTTCCTAGGGTGTAGAGAGAAAGACCCAGGAAGACGATGGCGCACATGTTGTAAATATTTCGTGTTTGAGGATGTTCGAAGGCATCGGTCGCAGGGGAATTCCGAATTACAAATTTCTTTTCCATTTTAGTGAAAATTTTCTAAGTTTGAAGTGCGATTTTCTTAATACGCGTTTTTTCGTTCTTGGTACGTATTACTAGACGTAGGGTATATGAGTAGGTGATATGTTAAAATGAAGGTGACTGCTTATCCGTCCGATACATAATTCTACATATTTAAGAAATTTGTATGTTTGTAATTATTACGTGTAGAACAAGAAAAACTTTTTATTTAATAAATATGGTATACACAGTTTTTTGACCTCTAACTAGCTTTTTAAGACGCAAGGACGCGTCAAACATATCTCCGCGACAACTAATTTATCCTCAATGGCGAACTATCAACAATATAATTATTATCCATTCACAGATCATTGCGACATTATTTAAAAAGAAAATGTCTCAAATAGTTTTACCCGAGGGGTAAACCGCAGAGGAAATCAATTGTACACGCTAGAGGTAATCAAAGGAAATCACAGGAAATCACACGAAATCACAGGAAACCAAAGGAAGTCAAAAGGAAATCAAGAGGAAATCAACGAGAAATCAAGAGGAAATCAATGAGAAATTAACTAGAAATCAACAAGAAAACAAAGGAAATCCAAAATCATCATAGCAAATCCAGTTAAACTAGATATTTTCTAGAACTAATAAACGTAACATGTACGACATAAGTCATAGCATTCATCATAAGAAAGAAAATATCAATTTAATCTTAAAAGTGGATATTATGAATTGGAAGCTGTTAAATCATCAAATAAAGATCTTATCAGGCTGCTTTCTAAAGAGAGTTGTCAAAGAGATGATGTTATAAATAAATCGGGTATCAACAATTATAATAATGCATCACTACCTTATAAGAAATTTCAATTTCCGTGTAATTTTGTTGATGAATTAAGCAAAATAAGACAGGAATCAGAATGTTCCATTGAAATCTTATCTGATGTCGAGGTTAATAGTTCTGGTAAGAAAAACTCAGCTATGAATAATAAAAAAGTACAATCCGATAAATTCGTAGATAAAGCTGGTCACGGAGTAAACACTATTGAAGATGCTTATATTTCTAAGGATAAAGTAGGCAATGAAAATGGTAACTGGCATCAACCTCGTTATCTACGTAAGAGAAATAAGTCTTCAATCGTCACTGGTATCAAGCAGTCATCCCATCTTTTAACAGTTGAAAAGAAACATTTCTATTATATAGGGCGTATTGATTCTTCCATGAGTAGTGACAATGTTGTGAATTTTATAAAGAATGATCTGCAAATAGCTAATGTATCCTGTGATTTATTGTCAGATAAGGGAGAATTCAAATCATTTAAGGTTGGAATTCCACAATCTGCTGCGGCGAATATATTAAATTCTGATTTGTGGCCATGTGGAGCTGTGATAAGGAGATCCTACTCTTCTCAACGTAAGGTTAATAATGTTACATCCAAGACTAACAATGTTACATCTGGTAATTCAAATTTTTCAACGGACAAGGAAAAATCAGCAGTAGTATGAGACTCGAAAAACTTAAGGTCTACTTCCAAAATGTACGTGGATTGAGGACTAAAATTAAAGATTGTTTCTTATCATGTGCTAATGATAATTATGACGTCATTGTTTTTGTTGAAACTTGGCTTCATCCTGAAATTTGTGATGCGGAGATATTTGATGATAGATATGTGGTGTTTAGAAATGATCGTAGTGCACTTAACAGTAAAAAATGTCATGGTGGTGGTGTCCTTATTGCTGTGAAAAAGTATATAACAGCCAGAATCCTTGATATTGCTACTTCCATTGAAGAATTGTGGGTCCTTCTTGAATGTGACCAGAAAACATTTATTTTCTGTGCAGTGTATCTTCCTCCGGATGCGTCGATTGATATGTATAATATTCATGTATTTAGTTTTAATTATCTTTGTAGGAATTATTTGTCTGCAACGTTTTATCTCCTTGGTGATTATAACCTACCTTGTATCTCTTGGATTAAAGATGATGAAATCGTAGGTCTCACACCTATTAATGTTAGCACTGACAAGGAAACTATTATTTGTGACACCTTTTTTGCATGTGATTTGAGTCAATTTAATTATATTGTTAACAGTTCGGGTAATGTTTTGGATTTATGTTTTTCTAATTGTGAGCATTTAGATATTAGTGAATGTTTTGCTCTTGTAAAAGTGGATCCTTTTCATCCCACCTATTCGTTTGCTATTCATTTAGTTGATTGTTACTGTACTGCTGAATTTTGTGACATTTCTTACGATTTTAAGAATTGCAATTATGAATTACTTAATAATTTTTTAATTTCTATTAGCTGGGATTTTATTAGTTTTATTACTGATATTAATGATGTTGTGAATATCTTTTATAATTATATTTATTTAGCATGTGATATTTTTGTACCTACTAGGGTTAAGCGTTATGATAATTTTCCACATTGGTTTAATTCAGAATCGCGCAAGCTTGTCAAACGGAAAAAGGAGCTCCATCGTAGATTTAAAATGAGTGGCAAATTTGAGGATTATGTTAATTTTTCCATTGTTAGGGACGAATGTAAACATGCTATTAACTGTTCATATAATAGTTATATTGATCGTACTGAATCCTTGATTTATACTGATTCTAAACAATTTTGGAAATTTATTAGTGATCATAATAGAAGTAATGAGATTCCTAATACTATGTATTTCAATAATGATGTATTTCAAGGTTGCAGTGATATTGTTAAGGTCTTTGCTTGTTATTTTTCATCTGTGTATGAGAATCCTAAGTTGCGAGCCTATTTATAATTCTGACTATTTTAAGAATAATCCTGAGATCGATTTGAATTTTGTTGATTTTAATGTTGATCAGGTAATGCGTGAACTATTACAATTAAATTTGAATAAGGGAGCTGGTCCTGATGGTCTTCCTCCTTTATTTTTTAAGATGGGTGCTTTATCATTGGCTGAACCATTATGTCGTATTTTCTCTGTATCTATGAGTAGTGGAGTTTTTCCTGACATCTGGAAATTTGCTCATGTGGTGCCTATTTTTAAATCTGGTTCTAAGCATTTTGTTCATAATTATAGACCTGTAAGTATATTGTCGGTTCCTGCCAAATTATTTGAAACTATTGTTTCTCAACAATTACGTCATTCCTTTAAGAATATTATCATTGAATCTCAACATGGCTTTTATGCTGGCAGATCTACGCAGACTAATCTTATTACATTTATTAGTGATATAACTGATGCTTTTGAAGATGGTTATGATGTACATTGTGTGTACACAGACTTTCATAAAGCCTTTGACAAAGTTCACCATCAATTGCTTTTAGATAAATTGTATTTGTATGGCATTCGTGACCCTCTTTTGTCCTGGTTTAATAGCTATCTCATGAATCGTAGCCAATGTGTATGTTTAAAGGGTGTAAAATCTTACACGTATTCTGTTAAATCTGGGGTACCGCAGGGATCCATTCTTGGTCCTTTTCTTTTTAATATTTTCGTCAATGACATTACAATGAATTTTCTTTCTAAAAGTCTTCTTTATGCTGATGATTTAAAAATTTATCATTTTATTAAAACAACTGATGACATGAAGATTTTAGAACATGATCTTAAACTAGTTGAAAACTGGTGCTTAATGAATGACTTAAATCTGAATGTTTCGAAATGTGTAGCCATTTGTTTTAGTAAGAAAAGTTTCCCTATTAATGCTTGTTATGTGTTAAATAATGAATTACTAAAAAATGAAAGTATAGTTAAAGATTTAGGTATTTATTTTGATTCAAAATTAACTTTTCATTGTCATTACGATTCACTTATAGCTAAAGCTAGAAAACTTATAGGTTGTATAAAAAGATGGTCTGTTGATTTTAAGGACATTAATGTTATAGTTGTTTTATATTTTTCGCTTGTAAGATCTGTCTTAGAGTATAATTGTATTATTTGGTCACCTTTTTATATTACGCTAATTAATCGCATAGAATCTATTCAGATTCATTTTTTAAAATATTTAAAATTTAGATTAAGTATGTTATATAATTTACATTTTGCTAGTGTTGAAATGGTTGCTGACTATCTTAACATTCCGTGTCTGAGTAATCGAAGGAAGTATTTAAAGCTCTGTTTTTTATTTAAATTGTTGAATAATATGGTTAGCTGCCCTACATTGTTAAGTAGAATAGGTTTTAATGTACATGTGTTTCATACTCGTAAACCTGAAATGTTTTATATTCCTTTTCATGGTCGCAACTATTCGCTTCATTCTCCAATGAATAGTATTTTATCGTTGGCTAATAATGTAGGTTCTGAACTTAATTTTACAAAGTCCAAATTTATGAGTTTTAAACGTTACTGTAAGGCCCTTTGTATGGGTGTCTAATTATCATGTAATGCTTTTTTGGCGTGAATAAACATTATTATTATAAAATAACCTTTTAAGGGCATAATGATAGAAAATTCCAGTATAATATCATTAACTGACAGCATGATATTTCAGCTTGACAAATATTAAAGTTGTGGTTAATGAAGTGCAGTTCCGATGAGAAATGATACATTATATTGCTTTATACCTACAAACCAAATTTATAATTTCACCCCAAATTAGTTTTTAAAAATTGAGTTTGTGATATGAGGTACCAAATTCATTAAGTTCAGGTCGTGCAAAAATCTTACTGATGATATGTTCTTGCCTTGGAAGTTTAGCTCTCAAATTTGTGAGAGTATGTTTAGAAGCCTTAGATCAATGACCTCAACTTTTAGCACAATTGTTAATTTTAGTATAAGAGATATGTTGCATCGAAGTGACAGACTGCAAACTATAAACAACATTAAAAACGATTTGGATAAAAAATTCGTTTTTCCTAACGAAATCAGGAAATAAAGTTCAATCATGAAGAGAGATTTTGTGAAAAATGATGACTTAGGAAACATTTGAGATAAAGATTTACAAAGCACCGTAGAATCAGCTTTACGGGATTGTCTGCGTGACACTGAAGATGTAGGAATGAAAGTGATAGATTTCAACTATGTATTTTTGCCTCCGTCTAAAGACAATGAAGGCAATGACGAAGTTGAAGATGAAATGTTTAGTGAAGAACAGTGCGATCACATTGAAAATTACAACAATTCTCAAATAGCCATGAAACGTAACTGTTTTCAAAGTTTGGAAAACGATCCAGTTGACCAAGATGAAGATTTACTGAATGATCTTTGCACAATTTCGTACGAATCTAAGAAATTTGACAGAGACATACACCTTAGAAGTTTTGACAGTGACGATATTTTTGTTGAGAAAGGTGATTTAGTCAGAATACGCTTAAATAATACAACAAAAGTTATAAAAAAGTCTTCACTTTGCTGGCTGTTAGACAATGAAAAGGATCGCGTCAGTGTGGATCGTCTCAAAAGATTTATTCAAAATAAGAAATGTAATAGTAGTAGAGTTAACTCAGAAACAGATACCTGCCTTCAACATAAAGATGCATCTCAAATTCAAAAACCAGTCCAAATTGGAAAACAAAAAAGATGCTGTAATATATCAAGTGACTCACCTGATTTAGACAACCCAAGTAGTATCGAATATGATGACAGCACGGACACCGAAAGTTTGAATTCTTCCAATTATTCTGATGATTTGAATCCTCGTTTGAATCTCAAGGCTGAAAATAGTAAGACTGATCCTTCTAAACCAGACTTAAATATAGACGATAATATTATAGTACAATTAACAACTCAAAAACAAAACAAAAAATGTTACATTGGTAAAGTGTTATCACTTAACCCTATTTTTTGTGATTTTTTGAAAAGGAATCCAAAAATTCCGGATGCTTTTATGTTTCCGGACATTCGAAAAAAACTGTTGAAGAGTGAGTGTCATTGAGGATATATATCTCCAAATTTTAAAAATTGGACCAAGTTACAATAATTGTTGCCAGGTAAGTGCAGATATTTTGGATTTGCATATACGGGGTGATTCAAGAAAATAAATGAAAGCGTAAATTTATTTTACTGATTTACTCAGGAACTACAAAACCGAATGCTTCGAAATCTTGAAGATATTTTAAAATTATCATAAGCATGGTAAATTTTTGATCAAAACTTATTTGGTCGTCCCCCCTAAAAAATTTATGACGTCACCACAAAATTTTGCTGAATAAATCCTATCTAAAATGTACAAAATATGGTGAGTCTCTTCTTGTAATTTGTCATTCCATTCAAATTTTTTCGATTTGCATATACAGGGTGACTCAAAAAAATTAATGAATGCGTAAATTTATTTTATTGATTTAATCAGGAACTACAAAACCGAATGCTTTGAAATCTTGGGAATATTTTAAAGTTATTATAAGCATGGTAAACTTTTGTTCAAAATGTATTTGTTCATCCCTCCTAAAAAAATTGATGACGTCACCCTTAAATTTTGCTGAATAAATCCTATCTAAAATGCAAAAAATATGATGATTTTGTACTTGTGATTTATCATTCCATCCATATTTTTTAGATTTTCTTAAGAGGTGGTTCAAAAAAATTAATGAAGTCAATTTATTTTATTGATTAAATTAAAGGCAACACTTATTATTAGTATTACACCCCAACCAACCCAATTTGGTAGACACAAAATTTGTTAAAGGAAAAACTCGGTTGAAACATAAGGGTAGCATCGCTTATTTACATCGACTTTAACATTACAGACCTGCATTTGTTTTATGCACTCACTTGGTTCCGCGAATGTGAAATAGACATGTTTATAATCAACCAATTGTGAATTTCACCGTCAAGAATTAAAATAAAACCCAATGTTTTATATAATAAGCGGAAGTCGAAGCAATAAAACCGATGGTCGTTTTGTTTACAGTTTCTCTGTTTGACTCTCACGTATGCTGTTACGCCTGTCATCTTAAATTAAGAATGTTTATACATACACGATTTTCAGTTGCCTCTGATACGTATACGTGAGTAAATTGTTTCGTTATTTTATTGATTATTACAAATCAATATTCAAAACGACCCAATTCATTTTCCCGAAAATTTGAGAATATAATAATTTTATTCTTAGTATTACACTACATCTATCCCAACTGATATACGTGTCCTTGCAAAAATGTTGATGACGTCATCGCAATTTTTTTTAAATTCCCACTACAAAAATGTAATGAGAAAAAAAACACAATAGGCATGTAGTCGTCAAGTTTCCGACAGCGGGGGAAGTACTGTCTAAACTCTTTAGACCAATTTTTTCTGTTTATGCTACCATAATAAATGAATAAACCCAATTTTTAAAAAGTAATGACTTAAGTTATTGTTATAAGTTTGATTTAGTAGGTCAGACTTTAACATGATCTTGTATCCACAACATAGAGATGAACCTAATAGAATGATTTTGGACTCTTATTTGGTATTCATTAATTACCTTTGTGAACGTATGAGCCAGTCGTTGTTGCCTTATGAGTATGAGTCACTGATAAGTAAAAACTGCTGACGTAACTAGAAATATCCTTGGCCTTATGTACTTTTAATTTCGTAAAATCAAAAGCAAAATTTCATAATATAATTTATTAAAAAATTAATAATAATATATAATATACTTTATTAAATCTTTGAGTGATTTAAACGAACTAATTTGTACACAACAGACATTTTTAATTTCAAAATTAAAATAGACCATAAGGTTTTCTGACTGAATGTGCAAAAAATCTAGAATATTGCATACGTCCACTTTTAGAACAAACATTTGACCCAAGAAAATGTAAAATTCGAACGTAGTTCCTCTATTGATTTAGACATCTAAAACCTCGATTTCAGAGTAGCGTTCTTTTTGTAAGTAAAATCAGATTTTTTTTCTTAAACATTTCAGTTTGTTGCTTAGCAGCACAATACATTTTATTTATTTATTTTTTTCGTCTAAAAGTAAAGCAGTTCAGCTTATCTAGTCACCGTACATTAGTAAACACTTGGTAAAAAAATGTTTAAATTCAACATCATTATCGGCAAAACAAAAAAGTCAAGTTAAAAAAAAGTTAACAATCGCCCTGTAGTACATTATGTAAACAAATTTTGAGAAAATCAAAAGGAAATCATAGGAAATCAAGAGGAAATCACAGGAAATCATAGGAAATCAAAGAAAATCAGAGGAAATCAAAAGAAATCGGGGGAAATCAACAAGAAATCATTGTCAAAAGGAAATCAATTGTACACTTGATGGTCGGCGGTTTACCCCTCGGCAACAAATAAATTCTCAATCTTCTTAAAAAAATAATTGCTAAAGCAACGCATTACTTTTTAAAAGTAATTGTTCCAATCACTGTTTCTAGCCAATTAAAAACATAATGTTTTACACGTCCTCAATAAAAGTCCTTCGCTTAACTATTTCGAATATTAGCAATTTATAAATCGGTAAACAAGGCAGATTTTAACTGTGAAATAGATAAACATGCTTTAACGCCCCCATCCTACCCCGCTTTATAGCCAACATCTAAGTCTTCCATTACACAAGTTAGTATATACGATTTTTTGCCAGTTTGAGATTATAACAATTTCTATTTTAATATCTATAAATAGGCAACCAACAAAACACCAACAGTACATAAAATCCATAAAACACCAGTGTTTTAGACAATGATTGACAGCATTATATAATTTAACTTTTCTCAAATTATCATGTCGGAATAAAAATGTTCTTGGAGTGGATAAGATGAATACATTTTGTAACTGCTAGCCCGGCACACCCACCATTTGGTATTTGAAAACTTTAAACCAAAAAATATGATACTATTTTATGTTTAAATTTTATGATTTTAGTGACATTTTTTTAAATTTCCACTTCTATAAAAATCTGTAAAATGATTTTAAAACGTTATTTAGGTTTAAAATCGCAAAACCAACCTTTAGCAACTAGTCTAAACTTCAACCACATTTTGAAGAGGAGAAACAGTACCAAAACCGAACTAAAGCAGTATATATACTTATAAATACAATTTCGAAAGTCACTCTAAAACTAGTTCTAGTTTCATTGTTCTTTTAGTTTATTTTTTTACCTTCCGGTCGAGAAGTACTCTTTTCCTAGTGGACATAAGGAAAAGCATACGAAGACGATAGTGAACATACTGTAAAGATTTCGTGTATGAGGATCTAGTACTGTTGGGGACTGTTTTAAATTATCACAACTTTTTTCTTAATTTGAATTTATTATTTAAAGTAAATTGTTGGTGTTCAACTGTGAGAGAAATGAGTAAATGAAAGACGAACTTGTTTTCTATGCAACTGGTAGTTTTGAAGAACCTTAATCTGGTATGTTTGGTAACAATAAAGAAGGACTCTTTTAACACCTTTATTATAAACTTAACTCCATTAAGTACTTGAAACATTAAAGATATACAATGGAAGTACCGGAAGTACAATTCCTTCGATTCCCAAACAAGTACCTAGATTTTTAATACACAGTCACACGTTAAAAATCTAGGAACAAGTAATTCCCAAAGCGTTGGATCTTCCAAAGGGCTTTTCCAACGAGCGTACCATTCCAGGGTATACAATACCCACGCGATACCAATCAACAGGAGAGTTACACACCAGAAAACAATTACAGAAAGCATGTTTTTAGGAATCTCAAAGAATGTCAGAGGAAGTCCTGCAACGACAAAAAAACAAAACATTATCGGAACAAGTCCACCAGTGCAACAAAATATAATCCATTCATGTACACAAAAAGACAACAAGAACACCGTCAATTTTGCTAGTAAAACTTTGTCGCAAATATGTTTCCTGAAATCTCGGTAAACGTAGTAATACAACCAGTCCTGCACCAACTTGTCATATTTCAACAACCATCCGTTAATGGTGTGTTCGTTCCACCAATCTAAATAGAACAAACGGTCTCCGAACTGAAGAATCTCGGCAACGAAATTATGAAACGAGTGGAACCCCATGAAGAATGGACACACTAGTATTATCGCTGCATATACTATTTTCTCTACGATCAGGAGTAACACCTCGTTTACGGTAAATTTTTGTGCCCATCTTTCTGAAGATGGGAAACAGTTGACAGCAGAGAACGGAAATACGAAAAAAACAGCGACGACTTCCAACAGACACTGAGCGACAAACTTCCAGTTGATGGTCTTGGTTCGAGGGTAGGCGTCTCTGTAGATGAGAGTAGGAGCGAAGAGGAAGTATAGATACTTAGAAAAAGACAGACGAGGAAGTTCTTCCGAAGCTTTACTTCGCACGAACGCATGAACTTTCATTAATAACCCAGGCTAAAAATTGATTTATTTTAAAGCGATTTTTTTGATGATTAACTTACCTGTTCGAGAGTTAACAAAAGCATGCAAGAGATATTGAAGTTGAAGTAGCGTATTGCACCAGTGACTAATTTCAAGCTGTAAAAATAGTACAAAGCTAAACAGACTAATCCTAACCAATCGAAAACTGTAGTCAAACCTGAAAGTTGTTTATCAGTTTTGAAATATCGTTAAAAATATTAATTGTGGTTTCTAAACGACGTTCTGTTGATCGCTTTTTGATAAAATAACGGATGTACTATACAAAAATTTTTTGGGTAGGTCTCGAGACTAAGTATGCAACGGATCAATTTTTGCGATTTATTGATATTTCATATTTTGCTTTGTTTGCTAAATGATGACATAATTAAGATTTCAAGACAAAGTAAACCTGCAAGAGGAAAAAATATATAAATGCTCCAAGGAAAGAAGGAGATAGTGAAGAAGACTATAGTAATACATGGAATAAATGAAGAGACAAACGAGAATGAAATGCAAACTAAAAGTAAATAAATAACGAATAATTATTTCCTGTCGAAAATTAAACAAAATATATGTTCAAGGCTAAGTGTTCTACCCTCAATAATGAAGAAAAAATAATCAAAAATGGAACTCGGACAATACCAAAAATTCATCAAAAATTGACAATCCATTTTAGACAACGATATAATTCGAAAAACATCATATCTTCAACTTAACGTTCGCTTTCGAAACCACACCTTAACTTACCTCCTGCACACGTTCTAAGACTTAACCACAATTTAAAAATGAAGAACAATGCACAAGCTGACGCAAAGCAACACGACCAAACGAAGATGGCTTTATCCAGGTGGACGAAGCTTGTTTTTATTACTTCAAAGCCGAAAGTGACTCTAAAAGCAGTTTTTGTTTGACCGTCATTTTGGTCTACGTTTTTACCTTCCAGTTGTCAAGTATTCTATTCCTAGGTTGTGGAAAGAAAGACCCACGAAGAGGATGGCGCACATGTTGTAAATATTTCGTGTATGAGGATGTTCGAAGATATCGGTCAGAAGGGAATTCCGAATTACAAATTTCTTTTCCATTTTAGTGAAAATTTTCAAATTTGGAAGTGTTTGCGATTTTTTCGTTCTCGGTACGTGTTATTTACTGACTTGCAGCGATGATAAATTGGTATGTGACACGGATATGCTAAAATGAAGGTGACTGCATATCCGTTACATAATTCTACATATTTAATTGTATTACATTTAAAACAAAAACAACTTTTTTAATATACGTAGTCATCTTTCCACAACAAAAACTTAAAACAAGCTTAAAAGAGTAAATTTTTGAGAGAAATACGGATTTTGCAGTTACGCTTTACCCTCTGGTCCGAATTCTGATTCGTATCGAGTTCAATCTGGGTTTAATTTTTGCTTAATATACTTACATAGCATTCTTTGAACAACATGATACTCAAAAACATGTCTTACATGATCCCTTTTGGTAGAGAAATGAGAATTTTGCAATTAAGCTCCGCCCTCTTGGCTCACGACGAATAAAAACAAACAAAATAAAAGTCAATATTTTTAAAACAAAAAGTTAAAACGTGTCTAAAATGGTAAATTTTTGTAAGGAACTATAGATTTTGCAGTCACGCTTCGCCCCTAGGTCTGGAAAAGAATGGAAATTCATTAGGAGATTAAGCCCCACCCACACCTGCCCCGATCTCAGTAGTAATGAAGTTTTAAAATCGTTGTCATTTGAGGATCCAAACTCTCCGGTAAGCTTTACCGGATTGCCTCCAGAACCTGTTCTGACAAGATGGGGTTCATGAATTGCAATACATTATTGTATGAAAAATGAGACACACTCCACAGTGTCGAAATACATCGCCGAAGCTCAATACGATTTCCAACAAAAGCATCTCGAACATAATTTAGCTTATCTAAAAATCTAAATTTCGATGTTTTGATTGTCTCAGTTTTTGAATTTTTCCATGTTTAGATTTTTCGATTTATCGGTTTTTCGTGTTTTTACTTTTCGGATTTTCGATTTTCGAATTTTCCGATTTTTCAATTTTCCAATATTTTAAATTTTCAAGTTTTGACGCTTCTGAATTTTCAGTTCTCAATTAATCTATTCTTTGATTCTCCCATTTTCAACTTGCCAAGGTTTCGATTTTTCAGTTTTTCAGTTCCTCAATTTTTCGAATTTTCAGGCTCCAGATTTTTAATTTGTCGATTCTTTAGGTTTGCAATTTTTCGGCTTTTCATTTTCTCAATTTTCCAATTTCTTTAATTTTAAGTATTTCTATTTCATAATAGATATTTCTTTTTTTTTCGATTTTTCAAGTTATCATTTTGTAATTTTTTGTTTTTATTTTTGATTTTTCAATTTTACAATTTATCGACTTCCAAAATTTTCAATTTTTCGTTCCTTCAATTTTTCGGTTTGCATCAGTTTTTCAATTTTTAATTTTTCCCTTTCCCAATTTTTTGTTTGCGATTTTTATTTTTCATTTTCCCGATTTTTTAATTTTCACTTTTTCGATTTTATATGGCAATTTTTGGTTGTTTCTTTCGATTTTGCGATTTTTCCATCATTAAATTTTTCAAATTTTCACGTTTTTAACAATTTTTCATCAAATTTTCAAGTTTGATTTTCACTTTGTACATTTTTCAAGTTTAAATTAAACACTTTTTCGTTTTTTTATTTTTGATTTTTCAGTTTTACAATTCGTCGACTTTCAAATTTTCCAATTTTTCAATCTTACAATTTTTTATTGTTTCATTTTTCACATTCTCGATTTTTAATTGTGCCCTTTTGCAATTTTTCGTCCCCTCACAATTTTTTGTTTATTCATTTCCTTAATTTTTGTTGTTTCTTTCGATTTTCCAATTTTTAGTTTATTCAGTTTTTTTAATTTTCAGGCCAATCGATTCCAATTCGTCGATTTTCCAATTTTTAAATTTTCGGTTTGCAGTTTTTGGGTTTCCACCCCTTTTTTACTTTTTGGATTTTAAATTTTTCGTTAAACTTTAGATTTCTCAAATTTTAGACAGTTTTTACTTCAATTTCTTTTTTTTTTTCAACTTTTCGATGTTTTAATTTTTCTTTTTTAATTTTTTTTTTATTTCTCGATTTATCGAATTCAGATGTTTGGATGTTTTGATTGCTCAATTTCTCAATTTATCAATTCCTCAATTTTTTCTATTTCTCGATGTTTCGATTTTTGGATTTCTCGGTTTTTCGATTTTCCAATTTTTCGATGTTTCGATTTTTCAATTATCCGATTTTTCAATTTTTTTAAATTCTGGAGTTTCGATTTGTTGATTTTTCAGTTTTTCGATTTTTAAGTTTTAGATTTTCGAATTTTTCTTTTTTGATTCTTTGATGTTTGGATTTCCCCACTTTTCAATTTTGCGAAATTTCAATTGTTCAATGCTTTAAATTTAAGATTTTTCGATTTCTGGAATTTTTTGATTTTCCAGTTCTTCAGTATTTCTATTTTACAATTTTTCAAATTTTGACGTTGCTAAATTTTCAGATTTTTCGATTAATATATACATATATTTTATTTTCCCGCTTCTCGAATTCGCAGTTTCGATTTTTCAGTTCTTCAATTCTTCAGTTTTTCGTTTCTTAAACTTTAGACTTTTCAATTTTCGATTTGTGAATTTTTCGAGTTTTCAGTTCTTGCATATTTTAATTTTTCTTTTTTCCGAATTTTTTTATTTTTCGATTTTTCAATTTTTTGAGAACTCGATTTATCGAGATTCGGATGTTTCCATATTTTGATTGTCTCAGTTTTTGAATATTTCCTTGTTTCGATTTTTCGATTTATCGGTTTTTCGATTTTTTACTTTTCGGCTTTTCGATTTTTCAATTTTCCAATTTTTTAAATTTTCAAGTTTTGACGTTTCTAAATTTTCAGTTCTCAATTAATCTATTTTTTGATTTTCCCATTACAGATTTTTAAATTTGTCGATTCTTTAGGTTTGCAATTTTTCGGCTTTTCGTTTTCCCAATTTTCCAATTTCTTTAATTTTAAATATTTCTATTTCATGATACATATTTCTTTTTTTTTCGATTTTTCAAGTTTTCATTTTGTAATTTTTTGTTTTTTATTTTTGATTTTTCAATTTTACAATTTCTCGACTTCCAAAATTTTCAATTTTTCGTTCCTTCAATTTTTCGGTTTGCATCAGTTTTTCAATTTGGCAATTTTTCAATATTACAGATTTTCATTTTTCGATTTTTCAGTTTCTCAATTTTTAATTTTTCCCTTTTCCAATTTTTTGTTTCCGATTTTTATTTTTCATTTTCTCGATTATTTAATTTTCACTTTTTCGATTTTATATCGCAATTTTCCTTTTTTTGATTTCCTTTATTTTTTGTTGTTTCTTTCGATTTTACAATTTTTCCTTTATTAAATTTTTCCAATTTTCAGGTTTTTAGCAATTTTTCTTCAAATTTTCAAGTTTGATTTTCACTTTGTACATTTTTCAAGTTTTTATTATACACTTTTTCGTTTTTTTATTTTTGATTTTTCAGTTTCACAATCTGTCGACTTCCAAATTTTCCAATTTTTCAATATTACAATTTCTCATTTTTTCATTTTTCACATTCTCGATTTTTAATTGTGCCCTTTTTCAATTTTCCGTCCCCTCACAAATTTTTGTTTATTTATTTCCTTAATTTTTGTTGTTTCTTTCGATTTTCCAATTTTTCCTTTAATCAATTTTTTAAATTTTCAGGCCAATCGATTCCAATTCGTCGATTTTCCAATTTTTAAATTTTCAGTTTGCAGTTTTTGGGTTTCCACTCCTTTTTTACTTTTTGGATTTTCAATTTTTCGTTAAACTTTAGATTTCTCAAATTTTCGACAGTTTTATACTTCGATTTCTTTTTTTTTCAACTTTTCGATGTTTTAATTTTTTTATTTTTATTTTTTTATTTTCGATTTATCGAATTCAGGATTGGATGTTTTGATTGCTCAATTTCTCAATTTTTGGATTTCTCGGTTTTTCGATTTTCCAATTTTTCTATGTTTCGATTTTTCAGTTATCCGATTTTTCAATTTTTTTAAATTCTGGAGTTTCCATTTGTCGATTTTTCAGTTTTTCGATTATTAAGTTTTAGATTTTCGAATTTTTCTTTTTTGATTCTTTGATGTTTGGATTTCCCCATTTTTCAATTTTGCGATATTTCAATTGCTCAATGCTTTAAATTTAAGATTTTTCGATTTCTGGATTTTTTTATTTTCCAGTTCTTCAGTATTTCTATTTTACAATTTTTCAAATTTTGACGTTGCTAAATTTTCAGTTTTTTGATTTTTCGATTAATATATATATATTTTATTTTCCCGTTTCTCGAATTTACAGTTTCGATTTTTCAATTCTTCAATTCTTCAGTTTTTCGTTTTTTAAACTTTAGATTTTTCAATTTTCGATTTGTGAATTTTTCGAATTTTCAGTTCTTGCATATTTTAATTTTTCTTTTTTCCGAATTTTTTTATTTTTCGATTTTTCAATTTTTTGAGAACTCGATTTATCGAGATTCGGATGTTTCGATATTTTGATTGTCTCAGTTTTTGAATTTTTCCATGTTTACATTTTTCGATTTATCGTTTTTTCGTCTTTTCGATTTTTGAATTTTCCTATTTTTTAATTTTCCAATATTTTAAATTTTCAAGTTTTGACGTTCCTGAATTTTCTGTTCTCAATTAATCTATTCTTTGATTTTCCCATTTTCGACTTGCCAAGGTTTCGATTTTTCAGTTTTCCAGTTCCTCAATTTTTCAATTTTTCAGGCTCCAGATTTTTAAATTTGTGGATTCTTTAGGTTTGCAATAAATTTTTCGGCTTTTCGTTTTCCCAATTTTCCAATTTCTTTAATTTTAAACATTTCTATTTCATAATACATATTTCTTTTTTTTTTCGATTTTTCAAGTTTTCATTTTGTAATTTTTTGTTTTTTATTTTTGACTTTTCAATTTTACAATTTCTCGACTTCCAAAATTTTCAATTTTTCGTTCCTTCAATTTTTCGGTTTGCATCAGTTTTTCAATTTGGCAATATTTCAATATCACAGATTTTCATTTTTCGTTTTTTCAGTTTCTCAATTTTTAATTTTTCCCTTTTCCAAGTATTTGTTT